AAGTCGGGCAAAAGCCTTCAATACTTGTGCTACACATCTGACAATCATCTCCATCTCCTGTGGCATCAGCATCTTTATGTATGTCACACCATCCCAAAAGGAGACCCTTGAAGTCCATAAGGTCCCTGCTCTTCTCACCACAATTGTCTGTCCACTTCTGAACCCTTTCTTCTTCACACTGAAAAATGATCTGGTGAAACAGGTCATAAGAGACATGCTGAGGAAAAACACAGAGGTGATTGCTCATAAAGTTTGGGGTGTGTGGAGGAAGAAGGACCAAAATAAGTAGGGAGACCATATAGAAATGTAGAAACAGAGCCCAGGGAAGGAAAGATGCATCTTATTCTTTGTGATTCTTTAACCTCTATGATGATGACAAGAATTGAAAATAACAGTCAGTTCCTTATGGGTGGGAATATCATCATCCTGTTTATTAAAAGGAGAGGAACCCTCTCAGATGCAAATCCAATACTGAGCTGATTATACAAGCTCCAGTTGGAAAGTGATAGATTGACATAACTCAATGCCAATCTTTCCCTAGAAGTTTGCTTCTCTTTTGGGGTCCTAAAACCTTACAGATCATTGTGTCCTCTGATTCCAAGGCAAGTGTTCTTTGTGAAGTTCATATGTGGAAATTACTTTCACCAGATCCTCCATTACTTTTAGCAGAGGCCCCGAAATTTCACATGTGTTGAGTATGGAGTTCTTGATCAAGGTTTTGAAGTCAAGGAGGCTACCTCTATGCGTTTGATTTCATCTTCTATATACAAAAATACACACACACACACACACACAAACACACACAAATTCCCAGCCTCAAGTTGTATGAACTGTAGGCTATAAATGAGGTCCATTTGGTTCACTGAAGGTAGACTTTCATGCCCAAAATCCTAGGGAGGAATTTCACTTCTATGAAATCCTAAAACAATATGGCCAATAGTCAGCTGAAGAGTTATTTGGTTCTATTTTTTCCCCCAACACTGGTAATATTTCCATTTGGTGAAGAGAAGGGACATCTTTGTCTTAAAGCTACCAACCAATGGATGTAGTTATATATGCAAAGTGTTGTTATTGTTTCAAAATAATGGGGTACAACTTGGAAAGATTTGAGGGGAATGTTCTGAGGCACAACCTGGTTATGCAAATGTCATTACTTCCCAATGAAATATGAGATGAATGCTGAAAAATGCCTCTCCAAACATAAGATGAACTCTCAATTTTTTGAATGCCAGTTGGGTTTCATGACTACAAATCATTCTTGAATGAAGATTTGATGTTGCCAGAATGGCAATCAATACATTTACTCACAATGTTATCTGTAAAGTGTTTGCTCCCCACCATTCAGTGGTCATCTGTG